CTCACAAAGCAGCATGTATGTCTGAGACAGCCAACACACACTTCATATCTGGCAGTGCAATGAGTCAGCAGTGGCATTACTCTCCCTGCATGCCAACTACACGTCCAGCTGACTGCATGCAACAAAAACTAAAAAGGCCTTTAATGACTTGTGAGGTAATATAGGAACCGACTTTGATGCTTAACAGAGTTCACTGAAGAAATGAAACAAATGTATCTCCAAGCTGAACATGAGGAACTATGAGGTTTCTCACATGTTCAGCCTCATGGTGTGCAACAACATGGTAATTCGTCTTTTTTTCCGTTCGAAGAAGAGGAAAGGGAGGGTGGGGGTTCATGTCTGCCTGTGTGACTCTGTGGGAGGGAGCACTGTACAGTGGAAAATAGTCCCCACTGCTAATCCATGCCAGGCTAATTACAGCTTTGATCCTCTGTGTGTGTGCATCACCAGTGGTGGGAGGGAGCTAACAAACTGTGAGGGTTCAATACAGCAACAGAGATGCTTTAGTGTAGACACACTTTGATATGCTCGCAATTGGTCCAGATAGACTACCTGCAAATAAACCTAACTATTATTATTTACATTAAATACATAATAAAACTGCTGCTAACTGAACAGTCACTGGAGTCACTTAAACAGTGCATGGTCCTGTTGCTGCAGCTTCCAGTTGTATATTAAAGTCTTTGCCCTCATTAAAGATGTTGGGCTGAACAGATTACAGCACTGAGCAGCACATGAAATTCAACTCCTGCAGACGGGGACATAGATTAAGTGGGTAAATGGAGTTTCTGTCTAAAATAGACCACAGCTCTGATGATAGCCCAGTCCCAAAACACATGGAAGCAGAGATGCAGCAAGGGAGGAAGAGGAGGAAGGCGGCTGACGATGAGCAGCAGATGGCATGGAATTATCTAGATCTTCAGCTCTGCATCTTTTGCCTATTACATCATTATTGTAATGGCAGCTTATCAATCTAGAGCGTCATCATTTTAAATCATGTTTAATTAATTCACTGGTTCAGTAGCTAAAAGTAAGGATAAACGATTATATCTTTAAGAACGACATTGCACTATGAGACAACAATTTGACTAAAGTAAAACTAACCATCATTAGGAATGAAGCATTTCTGTTGACAGGAGAGTAGCTTGAAGGCCCCTTTCCATCCTAAACAGCTGGGGTCTGTCAGGTTGGGAAAACAGCACCAATGTGCTTTAAAACAGCTGCCAACTTAATGCCCAAAGGGCCCCATGGCAGTGCTGGGACATCTTTATTTACAAAGGAACCTCAGTGTCCAACAAGAGATTTCTTAGTTACACTATACATTAGCAGGGTACCAGAACAAAGACAATGTTTTGCAAAAATATTCGCGCCCTTTGGTTGTTCATACAACTTCCATTACTTGCAAATTCAGCTTCAGGTCTTCTAGGTAACATTTGGGCAGACATTTTCTCTCGCTCTTCTTTGCAAAATATCTCACTTGGTCAGGTGAAATGGAGAGCACTGATGAGTATCAATTTTAAAACCTTACATCAAATTCCTCATTAGCTTTAGGTCAGGACTTTGAATGGACCATTTTGACACATGTATATGCCTTAATTTAAAACCCATTCCATGAAGTTCTGGGTGTATGTTTAGAGTCCCTCTGGCTGGTCTGTAAGATAAAATTCTTTCAATATACATTGGATGAATATGAATACTTCTGTGCCTTTAGGGTTAACTGGACTTCAACTATAGAATGTTACATATTTTCTAAATCCAAAAATACCAGTCAAAATTCAATATTTTCCCATCAATCTTTTTTAGTTCATGAACTCAGGAACTTTTTCTATATTTGAAAATTGGTAACGTCATACAGGAACAAAGTGTGGCAAAAAGAACATGATGGGTTATAGATGAACAAGCAGATTAAATAGATAGGTAGTGAGATAGATACTCTATCTGACCCAAAATGGATGATACACAAATGTATGGCAGGACAAATGGATGTCAGGAAGAATAGATGAATGAATGATGGACAGATGAATGCATAGATGAAAAAAATTAAAAGACAAGCAGACTAACAGGAGCATGAACAAAGACACAGATGGACTTTAAGGCAATGAGACAGACATTTTGATGGGTAGGTGGACAGTCAGATGAATGGACAAAGAGACAAACTGATCATTGGACAACAAGCTGAATGGATAACAACATAGATAAACAAATAAGCTGATGGATAAATAATTTAAAAGGTTAAGGGATGGTCAGATTGCTGTATGTAGCGATGAATAAATGGCAAACGTATATACAGTTTGGTAAAGCAGACAGATGGATGGATAGCAATATATTTTTTAAAGAGAATATATAGAAACATGTTTCAACACTATTTTCTTTTACAGACCTACACAGACCTGGAAAACAATTAGATTCTACACTTTTCCCAGTCTGTCGTACATGAATCCCGGTTCCTCAGGAGGAATATTTCTGTGGCAAATTACAGAGTGCCATCTATAATAAAACAATGAAGCATCATTGTTTTAGCAGACCACCACACTGTTACAAAATGAGGAGGGGTACTAACCTACCATGGTCCCAATGTTATGACTGCTCATTGTTCATTAATGCACTGCTTCACTTAGCAGTAACTTTGTTAATGTAACTACCATAACAGCACACCTATTGCAGCCATATCATATCAGATATGAATGTTGCATAAAACTGGCGAAATAAGAGAAAATTCAAGCTTCCGCACCTATTTTTCAAAATAAGACAGCCAGTTCTGCCGTCGGAGGAGTTCATCCTTCCCCAAAAAAACGACACAATACATATATATATATATATATATATATATATATATATATATATATATATATATATACTCTAAACATTCAACATTAAATGTGTAGTGGTCAGAAATAAAACTATCAACACACTGTGGTGTTTAACCTAAAACACTGAAGCTAACTAACCAGTTATACTGACGATTCAGAGGTATGCAGCTCCGTTAGCCGGTTAGTTTGTTGTTAGCTAGGGTTTCATTTAAAACAAAAAGTGCCACGACAACCTGAGCCCGAACACAAGAGTTAGCTGCCTTAGCACGTCTCGCATACCGTTAGCATGCCTCTTCTTGTCAGCAGCTGGTGGACATCCTCGCTTTTCATCAGTCGTGACCAGGCCAAGGCTCGGTTAACTGAGGCTGACTGCTGGCAGCCAAGAACCGACACCGGGAGCATCTGCTGTGTGTGTGTGCGGTCCCCAGCTACCCGTCCTGGCACAACCTGACGCTGAGGAAGTCTCCTGGTTGGCTGCGGGTTAACATCCACAAGAGTGCTGATGATGTTCCAAGTCACCAGCAGCCCCCCCTGACTGACTGACTGACTACCTGAGCAATTCTGTTTTCCCCCCAAGCTCGAGTGTAAAATTAATACTCACTTGGACTGCAGAATGCCAAACGAGCCGGAACACATTGACTGTAAAACAAGGAGGCAGAGGATGTGTTTGCCCAGGGCGGTCACTCAGGTCGGGTACTTTTCCTTCCAATGATCCCTGTGTGTCTCCGAGCTTCAAATGATCTCTCCACACTGCAATGGTGCTGAAAGACAGTGCAACGCGATTGGCTGGACCGAGCGGAACTCGGCGATCTGCAGGGGGAGTAGCAGTGGTGCATTCACGAACATAGGAAAACTCTAAATCGGGAGTTCAGGTCTGAACTGATACAGTACAGTGCATAACAGGAAAAAATGAAATCATGTGCAAAAGAGTTAAATCACCACTTCTTTTCTTAAATTCATTCCTTGTTATATATTTAACGTTTTTACACAAATATTATGAGAAGCTTAGGATACAAAAGACATTTCACTCAAGTTGTCTAGCTAATGCTACAGAAATGTTAGTCAGTTTTTGACCGAAGAACCAAAACAATATCTAAAATAATTTCAGTGTGACAATTGAAATCATTATTCTGATTTAAGATTTTTGTCTGTTTAAATCTCAGACCAGTTGCATTTTAAGATAATGGCATCAAGGGTAGTAACCCAGGACAGCATCAGCAGGGAGCACTTGAGTGCCCAACTAACAAAATTAAGAAACACTTTATTATCCCTAAGTTGCACTGTGAATTATTTTCACTGTGCAACTTGTATTTTTGCATGTATAGTAAATGAAGAGTTGGCACCCCCTGTGTTGAGTAGCCACACACACTATGCCATATGTGTGTGTGGCTACTGGCCTGGATAGTATTACCCTGAGAGTCCAATGTCAAGTGAGACGTAACCCGGACATTTGAGAAAATGACATAATCACAGATCACAGTTTCTGTTAAAATTTGTATCGTGAAAGCAATCACAGAGAGGAGGAAATGTTGCACAAACAGAAACCAGCATGCCCCAGCTACCTATCCTGTTGCTGTTATTGTTTATGTGCATCTTTGGGTGGAGCAGGAAGGAGTTCTGCATCAGAGAAGGCTGCGAGAATGCTGCAGTAGACAGCTCAAGGTAAAGTGCCCTGATGTGTAGTTTGTATTTTATGAATGAGTTTTAAACATTAGATCGGTGATGCTTTGTGAAACAGAAAAATATATATATATATATAAATATCTGCAGGTTTTTTGACTAATGGGGATGACTTGATCCTGGAGACTGTGATACAAGCTGACATGTTAAGGACAACATGTCTAAGGTCATCTTCATCCTCCAATAATGAAGATTTGTTGACTCTTAAATATTACTGAGCTCACCTTTAACTTCCAATTTTTAAAACTGTTGATAACATATAAAGACAACAAACTAACATAACTTTTAGCCTTTGTTTGGGAGGTGGTCCTCAGTGCTGAACTCTTGCCACTGTGTCAGGCAAGTAATCTTCTTTCAACCGTGCATATTAAAAATGACCATGTGACAAATTAAAACAATTATAAATGTTATCGAAGTTTTGCTTCTGCTTTACAAAGAAATCGGAAGTTTGCACCGGAAATCAGCTGTTCCTTCACTTTCGCTTTGCAGGATAAGAATCCCCCCCGTCGGTCATGAAAGTTCAGGCTCATTAAAAGACTTGCAGTCTTAACTGCCCCGAATCGGGTTTTCTGTGATCATACACCACGTAGTCTACTTCCGCTTTTTGGGTATTCCCCCTAAAGCGTCATCTCTTGCAGTCTGCGGTTTCTATTGAAGCCATTTTACTGAAGCTGTGAGGTAGGTCGCGCTGTGCAAATACTTTAGAGACAACAACAAAAACAACCGCGAAACTCAATTAACGTTAACTATTGCCATGTTGGTTAATGCTTTGCTTTTCTTTTCTTAGTCGTCGTGACGTCACTTCTGTCAACAAAGCAATATGTCTCTGTTTGAAGAACAAGACCTCAGGATCAACGCTATCACGGAGGATCTGACAATTGGGGATCGTAAAAAGGCAATTTACCTTTGCGGGAGCTTGGTTACCGACAGCAGCGTGGATTGCGTCAGGGAGACTTTAAGAGTCAAAGTCAACTTTAACGCAGATCCTCCCCTGTTTATAATGTCCATCCTCAGGGAGCTCGGACGGTACGACATTATAAAGCGAGTCTATAAAGTGGACAGAAACGAGATAGAAAAGAAGATGCAGGCATATAATCAAGTTCTCCCAAGATTCAGGTAATAGTCTATACTTTGTTTACATTCAGTTTCAGAAGTTGGTGTTTTCATTCACTGATGCAGTTTGTCTTTTTGCAGAGTACTGATGGTTACTATAAATGACCATCTCCCAATAGAAGATGTGGAGCAAATAAAATTTTTATTAGGCAGGACTTTACCCCATGGGAAAACAGAAAATATCAAGGTAAACCCATATAGCCTATATACTTTTACTTTCAAGCTGAGAGTGTGTGGGCTTTTGTGACAATGTGCTTTGCCAATGGGAAGGTTTCACTTTGACTGAATGAAAAATCTTACAAATGATCTCTTACAGACCTTCTTGGAAGTGATGATTGAACTGGAGAAGATGGATTCGGTGTCACCCGAAAGAGTAGAGCTTGTCGAGGACTGTTTACGAAATATTGGCCGGCTTGATCTGGCCAAAATAGTGGCTGCATACAAGATGTCAGGTGAGAATATTAATTGAGGAAGTTAGTATTTAAATACTTCAAATGATTGACGTGGTGCTTAAAAAAGGGAAGTGAAAACAAAACAAATTTTGGGGGGATTCTCAGCTGACTAAGATGGTTCATTAGGCTTCAATGAAGCTGAAGATTTTTGTACTGACTTTGATAGAACGCTGCAGTACAGTGTATTGTGTGTATCGAGGCACAGTTTTAGGTTTATTAAGAGGCGCATGCTGACGCCTTTCCACTACTAAAAAAAGTAATAGTGGCCACATGACCATTACATTTGGATTATATGGGCCATGATGCAATAAGGTTACCTGGTCTGTTTAACCTTTACCATTATGGGTGTGTGTGTGTATGTGTTTCTTATCTCTTTTAAACTGACCTATGAGTTATGCAGCCATAAAAATTCCTAAATCCTGAGACATCATTTTGTTTCTGTCATATAAAATATAATGTAGCAAAATAAGACATGACATTGGAAGCAATACTAAATATTGTTTGATGGGCATAAAATCCTATTTTAACACCAATAAAAAAGCTTTTAAACCAAAAGATTTAGTATTTGTTCAGTAATTGATTGCAAACCACATCAAGACTGAACAAACGTTTATATATAAAGGCTATTAAAAATCTAAAAGAAAAAATAATTTTAAAAACGTCTTAGGACTTTTTGTCAATTTCACTTTAAACAAATTATAGAAAGTATTTGTGTAGTTTAGATCAAAGCACAAGAAATAAGTGCTGAGTCGACAGCCCTGGCACACTAGTTAGATAATACAAATACTTGAACATTATTCGGTTCTATTTTTAAGCTTTTAACTAATAAGAATGGACAGTAGTTGTCTCTCATTCTCTGTTCATTTTACAGGTGCTACATCGGAACACTCTTGGCCTCCACAACACAGTGGTCAAGCTGATGTGAGTAAAATATTGAAAAAAATCACAATTTATAGACAGTTTAAAATGGTATTATATGTTATATTTTACATCACACCTTACTGTTATTTACTTTAGATTTAGTATCAATAGAAATTTTTACAAATGATATTGCCTTTCTATATGATTAACATTAAATACGATGGAATTTCATCAAATTTGTATTTGTTAGCAAAAAAAAAGTTTTTGGCAATTAACATTGTTTTTTGCATAATTTAAATAATTTTAAAACTCCCAAGTTGATTTTTTCACCCACAGTAAATGACCGACTGCACCTTTATTACTGTGATGGGTTTCTTATGAAGCATTCATGACACATGTATGTTTTATTTTCACATTTTAGAGTCAACCAAACCAGTACAACTTAAGGGCCGATCAAAGAGGAGTCTGTGTTATTATTGACTGTGTCGGTAATGATGGAGGTGAGATACAAACATTTATTTTAGAAGAGGAACCAAAATCCCATGGATTAACACAAAACTTTGATTTGCATCCAAAATAATTAATAAAAATATGGAAATAAGAACACAGCACCTCATTGCTGTTTTTATTCCTCTTTTTCATCATCATAACTAAAATGCTGTATGCTGCTGTTAGTTTTTCAGAGCTATTTTTCAAAGTGTTTCAAAGCAGGCCCTCGCCACACAGTGTTGCCCAACAACTTACTACAACATGTCCAACTTACTTACTGTTGGACATGTTGGGCAAGGTGGATGATCAGTGATGTTTTGGGTCTTTCACAACTCTCTTACAGTGGCTTTGGTAAACCTAGGAGAGTTAAGATATCAAATAATTAAAAATCTGGTGGAAAAAACAAATCTCTGCATGAACACAGACTTTTTGGAATCCCTAACAGCTGACACGGCGCAACCCGAAGTCCAGTGGACATCTGAGATGACATGTGGAAACAACATGAATGTTTATTCAACATTTCATGTAAAGAAAATATAAATAAAGAAAAAAATTCTGCCGCAGTTGATAAACCCGGTAACTTTTCAGGTGTTCTTCGTTAGAATGATTTTCATTCAGTCAGGACTCACACTAGCCACATGCATTGCGGGTAGATTATGGTAAAGCCCTGTTATATTTTGTTATATTTTTTGCTAGTTTGAGATTACATGATGTTAAAGGTCTTTATTATAGACGGCAACACATTTGTTCACATCTGTATAAAGTGATATACAAAATTATTGTTTACTGTCCGATCACAATGTCTTTTTTATAATTTCATGTCGTCTTTTCTTCCTCAGGAATGTTAGAAAACACATTTAAGTCTCTCCACTTCAACGTTCTCTACTACAGCATGCTGGGTGCTGATGAGATTTTCGAAACTCTTGAAGAAGTCTCTAAACACAGACGGAGTCGCAACGAGGATGCTTTTGTCTGCTGCATTATTAGCCGCAGCTTAGATGACAATATCCTGGGTACGGACTCGTATGGAAGAGGTCTTTCTGTCAAAAACATCAGACATCTCTTCTCAGGTGACACTTGTCCTATGATGGTTGGCAAGCCAAAACTTTTCTTTATCCAGAGCTATGTGGTTCCTGAGTCTAATCATTTGGAGCAAGACGGCTGCGAAAGCTTACCCTCAGAAGCAGACGTACTCTGGAGTCACTGCTGGACAGATGAAAGCCAGCTGCTACAAGAGCAGCATCACTCTGTTTACCTAAAAGCACTGACTGATGCCTTAAGCAAAGCCAAGAGGTGATAATATTCCCAATAATTGTAATCTATGCTCAACATCATGTTCTGCTCATCTAAATTGCTTTTGTCATTGTCATTACAGGGAAACGGATCTGCTTGATGTACAAATGAAAGTGAATGGAGCCATTTATGAGCATAACCAAAAACATCCTGAAGCGAGTTACCATTGTGATGTAAAACACACTCTGAGAAAAAGTCTTTATCTGGAATAGAAAAGTGACAGAAACATTATGACTTTTACTTTTTTTACTTTTACTTTTACTGTGGCACTGATCTCACTACATGCTTCATGAAGAACATGTTTCCTGTGTGTATACTGACCCCTGGTGGTTTAAATGAAAGAAGACACTATAGAGACATAATAATCGCTTAATTAAACGTTTACTTCAGGAATTTAATTCAAAAAATAAAAAAATCACATATTATCGCGATTCATTGCAAACATGATGATATATTTCTAAAGTTTAAACCTGTTAGTTTTGAAATATGTGGCTTACAGCTAATGAATTCTTAAAATTTAGTGTCTTAGAAAATTATAAGAACAAATAACACAGCATGTTTAATACAGAAAATAAATTTGGGGGTTTTATGAGCTGTAAGTTATAATTATCAAAATTAGTGACAACAAAATGTCCTTTTTTTAATCTTTTTTTTTTTTATAACAAACTATTCTTATGTTTTCTTATGATAAGTATGTTTTCTCACACACAAACTATATATATGTAATATGATAAATATAACATGTATATATAACTCATTTCATAACATTAGAAAAGCTGAACATTTGTAATAACTGTAGACTTTTGAAATATTTGACTTGCAGATCAATTCTCTTTTAAATTATTTTCAACTCTGTATGCACACACAGACATGTGATGAGTAAACATGACATTCACTGTGACTATTAATTTTTAGATATTCTTTGTAAATCAAGGACTCTGGGCATGTTCTCATTCATTTTTTACTTAATTAAACAGAAAAAATATATTTTGTTTAATTAGCAAGCAAAAAATGTCATTAAAATTAGATTTTACATCAACTCTTCGTTGGCAGCTTATGGCAAAAAAAAAAAAATCTGACTTAAAAATAAAGAAGTAAAAAATAAATTGTACTCTAAGCTATCTTCATAGGGTTTGATTCATTTCTAGTCTTCATGAAATCTCAAGTCTAATTTTTAATTATATATGTTGTTGTTCGGCATGTGTTGCCCATTTTACAAAGTCTTTTATGTTTTTATTCATTTCACATGAAAAACCTTAACTAAAATAAAAATTTTTAACTACTTATTAGCTAATCAGGAGGATCCGTAAGACACAAATGAATATTGTCAGATATTTAAAACCAACAAAGTGCTGACACTTTTCCTGGTGAAACTGCTTTCATTCTGTCATTTATTGTCATTAGCTTTCACTGAGGTCCTTGCTGAATATGATATATGTAGTAACAATTCATAAAGTTGAAGAGAAATTGGATGTAAATATGTAAATTCAAGGTAGGGCCAAACATGCAAAGCATTACATCATATGAAAAATCTCAACCAAAATCATTAGGCAGACAAAATAAACATTAGAACTGTTTTGAAAATGTAACTGCACTGCTATTATGTCACACAAGTAAATGTTTTCTGTTACCTTGCTGTTCCTTTTACTACTGTACACTATTTTCTCTTGCTTTGTTGTTAATTTTTATATCTAAAGGACATTTGTCATTTTGTATTTATGCATTTGATGTATCTAATATATGTGTTTGTACATGTAGTCTTTTCATTAACAGGATCTCATGTTAGCAAAAATGCAGGCTTCAGAAACCCAGTGTAATTAATCCAGGTTTTGTCCGTCTCTTAGTAAATTATTACTCAGATTAATAAATTACAATTTATTTATTTATTATTTACCTTTCAAATTCTTTACTTTTTTGTTGGTTAGAAATATACAATATCCGTGATATGTTCATGGACATTGTTACCTTTTATGTACTGTCACAAAAACAAAAACACTTAACAATGTTTTGGAATGTGTTTTATTACTTTATTGTTTCTGCTTGACAAGCAACAGAAATAATGTTACTTGTCATTATTGGGAAGAGGAAGTGGTATGGATGGCCATAGAAAACAAGATTTCATCTTTATGTCAACTCTGACAAATATATCTACTGTATTGGTATTTATCTGACAAATATGTAGTATATTGGTGCTCAGGAAGCTCTGACTCAAATCTTCATACTAAACTGAAAGGGATTTAGAAATTGGGTTGCCTCTTATATGACTATTTAACTTGTCTATGACCCACGTACACTCACAGATCTCCTACCAACACCTTTACGTTCCACTCAATTTTTAATAAACCTGCTTGAAAACATTCTTTGTAGAGTTTACTTATTTACCATTTGCTTTTTGTAGCTCATCAATAACTGCTATATAGATGTCAAGTAAACAGTATTCTCCATAACTCTGTAAGAGCGACCTAACATATATTCAACCTACTGCTTTGGGTCCCTGCCCTAAAATCCTTGCACAGTATAAATCTCAGGGATAGTTTTGTTGACAGTTTTAGTAAACTGCACCAATTTGTTTTCAAAATGGAAAATAGATTTATGTAAACACACTGACAAGAGTTTGATAGTAAATTGAATGGTGCAGTAGTAGCTTAATATGCTACATTTCCTTTTCACTTAACTGTTTGGAAATAAATCTCAGCGAATAACTGAAAATAACTGACAAATTCTTTATGTGCTTGATAATATATGCTGTCCTTTGCTGAATAAATTAATTGAACTTTGAAACTTAATAAACAATGCAACCTGACAGATTTAGGGAGTTACTTTATGTGCTACTTGCACATTGTGCAAGCAACTAAACATTGTGGAAGTGGTGCCCCTCTCTAATTCTGCTCATTATAATTATCATTGTGTAGATCATAAAATGCTCATAACAATTCTATCAAAAATACTTTATTAGTCTGATTTTTTTCTACCATACTTTTTTCTTCCACTGAACTTTTCTTTAATATGCTAAATATGCATTTTTCCCCAGAACATTTTCTGCCTTTCTGTGGTTGTGGTTTTCTTTAAATATTTGCAAATCTCAGAGTGTTTATAAGTGCCTCAAAAATATGACAGTAGGAGGCAGGCAAGTTGTGTAAAGAGCTCTCTCTCACCCACAGAGTTCACTAACACACGCTCGCACACACACGAGCTACCCTCGTCGTGAACGCGCGCCGTGAGGACTGCTGTTGCTATGATGCAATGGCGTCTGCGCCGTGGGAAGCGAGCGAGGAGTTGAATGAGTTTCCTGCACAGTTGAGGACACACGGCCGCCGACACTCCCTGTGGGGAGCCCACAGCCGCGGACACACCGACAGAAGCCTTTCCGGACTCTGTGCATGGAAACACGGACCCAGGTGTGTCCACTCGCCTTGCAGCTAGCCGTGTCATGAAGGTTGGAGAGATTTCACACACCTTTGCGAGACGTAGCAGGAGCAGCAGCGAGGCAGGAGAGGCACCAACACCCTGTTCGCTCTGAGCCGAAACGCACCCAGGAGCGCCTGTACACTCTGGTGTATTTATTTATTTTTTACTCATTGTTATCAGTCACGTTTTGTGGCATTGTCCTCAACACCTCAGCGGACCGCATTGTACTGGACCACCATGGCCGAGAGAACCTCCGCCGGGTTGCTCTCAATGATGCTGGAACCCACGCCGGCGGTCGCGATGACCCTTCCGGCGGAGGTCCGGGAGAAGCTGGCGGAGCTGGAACTGGAGCTGTCTGAAGGTAAGTTAAGCTCGGACTGCAGGACGGTGTGTCCTGACTGGGGTCTTCCTTTAGGTGTGACAGCTTTCAGGACCACCGCCCTTTATTTGGACTTTTTCTGCACCCTGTTTGAAAACATATCAGCATCACTGTAGCCCCTCTTCTCTGTTTATTTTAAAGAAAAATGCCCCAAATGAACTTCTACCTTGTTGTATCCTCTCCTAACATGGACTTAAAGGTCAGAAGGTCATGATTCACAATGGATTTAATTCAAAGTGTTTTTGTCCTGAAGTTTTACAATTGATCACGGATCAATCATATCTGATCAAATGGATCTAACCCAACAACTACACTGACACACCCATGATACTGATGTATGCTCTACTCAGTCTCCTCTGTTAGAAGCTGATTACAGTCATTTTGTGTTTTTTCCCATGTCTTTGAATTTATTACTTTAAATACACATTTTGTGAACTTTAACTGATTGTTTATGTTAAAGTGAAATAGTTTCACTGATACCCACTAGGCAACGTTTGTAACGAGGTGAAGGTTGCCAAATATCCAACTGATTAATGTTCTGGGCTTGGATATCATGAACAAAGCATCAGTACCCAGGTTTACCTTGCTTTTTATACAAAAGGCTTAGAGATAATAATAATAAAAACAATACTTTGAAACCATATGCTTTCAGTTTCAGTATTGGTCAGATTTTATTCACTCACAAATTCCCTCAATTGTATGCAGGTATGCTGCATAAACCAAGCAAAGTAAAAAAATTTTAAACTCATGTCTTTACTACATGAGAAGTAAAGACATGAAAAATTACCAAAGGAAAATTGTATTGAACATCATCTCAAATTACAAATTTCATAAACAATAAGAAATTTACAGTGTGGGTATTTGTTGACCCTAAAAATGCATTTCATAAAAATAACAATAAATATATTATTTCTATAAGAGTTATTAAATGAATTAGAATATGTTTTATAAGAAAAAAGAGGGAGTAGATTTGTTCCAAATCTCGGAGGTGGAACGATAGGTGCATATACATAAAATTTTTTGTCAATTATTTGTGGCGTACCACATGGGTCAGTGTTTGGACTAAAATTATTTATTTCTATATTTATAATAAATGCAAAATGTCTGATTTGTTTTGAGTTAGACACAACTATCTTATTTGTTTTCTGATAATCTGCAACAGTATTTGAATCTGATGTTCTCTGTCTATATGGAGGTCTAGGGACCACTGTATTTATTGTAAAAGCAGCTTTGAGAATTTTACTTAATGTCAGGTTTTGTTTATTTACAATATCCCTTTTAATGCTTCAACTATGGCATTTATTGTAAACAGAGCCCAAAGCATTCTAACAAACCATTCTGCCAAATTACTCAAAAGGAACTGATCTACACCATTGATTTCAATCCGTTATCTGAAATGTATCTTTGATTAAATATAGGCTATTGTTTTGGCATTAGCTCTATGAATGCATAATCACAAAATCGCTTCAACAGACAAAAAAAATGCTGTTTAAGCCACCTCATTGCAGTTTTTTCCTGTATTGTGTCCACTTTCCATTAGCCCTTCCTTCCTGCTTGATCCTTCCAAAGATTGGAATTAGATTTCTTCATGTTTGTTAATCACAGGTCTTAACGCTAAGTTGTTGTAAATCAGCTCCATACAGGGGGCTCACTGGTTGCTGGTAAGCAGAAATCTTCACAATGCACTAATCTAGTCCTCTGAACAAAAAGAAAGAAGTGCTTGTTTTTGTCCACAAAGGGCTTCTGTTGTTTTTTGGGTTAATTCAGTGAGGCTCATTGTTAAGCTCTTTCCTTTACTTAGTAAAATGAGCTAAGCTGCAATAAAGTTCTGCTAATTAGTGACCTACATTAATTCTCATTAGAGTTTGTCATTTGACCCGTTTTGTTTTTTTTCTTCCTTTTTTTGTGAGATTAACAGGGGAGGTCAGGTCTTGAGTCACATTTTAGATGTCATTTTTTTTCTCTTTGGGGATTGTCTCTGCTGCAGTATCCCACCATGGTTAGAAGTAGACCCAAGGTGCATACACTTTAACAACCACATTAGCTGCCTCTAATGGAATACACATGTTTACAAGCGTCACTACCCGTCTAATCTATATCTGTCTAGTTTCCTCTTCCTGCTCTCCACATGTCACATCCTGCTTTGTCCAAGCTCAGATAGCACTATCTTCTTGCTTTTCTGCCAGTGACATCCCAAGTTGTCCCTTTCCAAGTCTTGTCTCCTGTTCTGTGTTTGTCTCCAGGCCTCGCTGCCTCCATACTTCCTATATTTCTTTTCTGATCAAAGAAAAGAATGTCATGTTCTGCAGGCTAAAGAGATGATTTCTTTTTTGCTGCTCCCTCACTGACTATTCCTGTCTGCTGCTCTGAACTTTTCACCCTGACACTCTTAAAATGCATCCCCTCTTGTGTTGTGTCTGAGTACAGTATATTTTAGGTAACTCATTTCATCTGAAGCAGATGAAAACCTGCAGGTCCTGCGGAAAAGATTTCTACCCTTCAAAATGAGCTCTTCTGATTGAGATAACAAATCAAGACACATTTCTTTCATGTTGAGAAGCATACCTTGGTTCTCATAGCTGAGTGAATCATTTGATGCGTGAGTATCATGAAACATTTTACACATACAAAGTGTGATGCACGCTATTCTGTGCTGTTTATCAGATGGATTTGGCTGAGTAGTATCAGTTTGAGACTATCCAGCAGCACAGATACATAATATTCCAGCATCAGCATCTAGGGCCAGCTGATGTGCGAAATAAACAATCTGCAGCAGTCTTATAAGTGTAATGGTAGGCACATTTTTCTCCAAGGATGTATTCATTTTCAGATTCTCGTTTTTTGTTTCTGTTTTATTGGGTAAGTGTTTAAAAGATGTTGCGAAATATGCTTTACAGCCATCCAGTTATTATTTTTAAATAATGCACCATAATTTCAGCAAGGAAAATGATAAAACTCCAACATTTACTTCAGCGAAACAGATGAGACACTGCTTTATTTCTTATGTGGTTTGTAATTATCATCCAAATAATTCTGCAACTTTCCAAAATTGGATTCACCTCCAATCAAATTCTCAGCCTTGTGGCTATTAGAAAGAACCTGTTATCTCTCATCTGCTGACCTAAATGCAGATTATGGCCAAAAGATAGGGCATAAAGGAGGCCAAGAAGATGGATGATCCCCATTATCTCCTGCAGGGAATAAAGGAGATAGCGAGACATGTCTGCTGAGTAATTCATAGAGCTTAGTCTGTCATTCCCTGGGTTTTCTGCCTTCCTCCTCCATTTGCTCTCTAAACCCTCTGATTATAACGTCATTTTTAGTCCAGTGCTGCTATAGTTTGCATGGGTAAATGTCAAAGCTTTGACTTGTCATTGCCCTTGTTTACAATGCTCCCATTGAGCAAATATTTACAGGGGAGTTGCAGTTGAAATGTATGCTGAGGAGTCTTAAGAGGACAGAATAACTAATTCTTTGAAACCTAAGCTATGGATACATGTTAAAATATTCTTTATCATTTGTCATATTGTCTCATTAAGGATACAGGCTCTTGATTTTTATCTCTGACCT